AAATTGTCAAAAGATGATGCTGCTGCTCCTGCTGGAGGTGATGGTTGTGCTGTTGGTGACGATGTTATCTGGGTGTGGGGAGATGTAGTGTAGCGGCTAGCGCGCTGTGCTATGAATCCGGCCACCCGGGTTTGATTCCCGCTCGCGACCAACACCAGCGACGATTATCTGAACCGGTCCTGGGCCTCCCCTCGGTCGACTCAGCCTTAAATGAGTACGTGGTGTGTAAACATCGTCACAGGGGAGACAAAGGCGGCCGGGCGTGGTGTAGGCCACCCACCCCCTCGTGTGCCGTGCCGGCCTTCATAGGTGCTCGCTAACATTTTCATTTATTTTTTCATTTATTTGGTATAGCCCTGTGAGCCATTCGGCTCTTGAATCGGGTGCAACCGCAACAAACAAAAAACAAAAACATGAACAAGAAAACATCTTAAAGTTACTGTGTGACTGGGCAAACATAAAATCCAGGAAAAAACAGCAAAATCTTCCTGAAAAAGCACCGTACACCAACGCTGTGTGCAAAAATCCCAGTGGGATGCAAGTCAAACAACAACACCAACCACAAGACAACTTAGATTAAGGCCATCAGTCTAACTCCGTACTACAACAAACAAACATGGCCAAACCAAAAAACGTTTTCGAAATCACCAAAATAAAGCCATAAATGCAATGTAACAGTGATCATAGGGGCTGTGACCGAATTTTTAACAATAAACTACATAAACAACATGTAACAACAAACCCTAGGGCCATAGCCTGCTGCATGAGTCACTCCACAACAACAGGAACATCAGTCGGAGTATCAAATTTTCCCAATGCACCTTTAAGATCACTTGCCCCAACAGTCTGTTAAGGCTACACGGGAGATCTTTGTCTTTGACGTTATCTGGGCACCCGCGTTCAGCGCAGGAATGGGAGCGGCGCTCAGGAATGCTCAGCAAGGAATCTCTCACAAAGATAAAGATGCCCCTTGTGCTGTAGCCTGCATACACCTGTGTTGGTTTAAGTGCTGCTAGCGAGCACCTTTGAAAGCCCCCATTGCCCACGCGAGGCTGATTGCGACCAGTACCACGCCCAGTCGCATTTGTCTCCCCAGATGCACTGCGCCAGGTGTACTCATTTAAGGCTGAGTCGACATAGAGGGTGGTGTCCCAGAGTGCTGCTCCAAGACCGGTTCAGATGTCACTCGCCACTGATGTGAGCCACGGGTCGGAATCGAGTTCGGGTCGCGGAGTTCATAGCGCAGTGCAACAATTACGAGCGGCATTAGTCATCATCAACAACAGCGGCAGCAAAAGTAGCTATAACAACATTAGCAGCAAGAAGTGATAATATCATCAGCAGCAGCAACAACAATAACAGCAGCAGCAGAATCACATTTCACAAACATTAGATGTAGCGTTGTGGTGACGTATTGGTAACATCCGTACCTCAACAACAATGCCCTGAGTTCGATACCCGATTCAAAGTCCTTTCTATATGAAGTTTGTATGTCCCCCCCCCCCCTGTTCTATATGGGTTTCCTCCGGTTTCCTCCTCCTATATGTCCAAGAAAAAACGACGTGCATCAAAGCAATTCACAGGGTAGGTGGAGGCGAAGGGTGAGAGGCGACAATTCACATGGGGTAGTGGTGTTAATAAAGTTGACGACGTATTTGCGAAACGAAGTCAACGGGCGACGTAAATCGGGGTGCCATTGTACCTGAAAATTCCTCTACAATATTTGCATCATAGGTAGCAACAGCTCCCCCTACCGCGACAACATGGCAGGACCATCTTTAGTGAGGAGTTGAGACTCCATAAAGCTTTCCTGGCTAAATAAACGTAATAATTAATAGGACCGGTCTTAAGACTCAGTGAAGTTGTTATATTATATTATAGCAAATCATAATTATTCCACTGCTGTAAGAACGCCTCACAACTGCGATCATGGGGTGGGGGTTGTTAAGCCATACTTCACCACGTTGGTCAGTGCAGGTTAGTGAAGAGGGGGCAGGTCAGAATGGGTTCAGATACCACTCGACACAGATTTCTATTCGCTTCATTACCGTACTTTATTGTACAATGACCTTGTCATTTTGGTGACCCAGGGTCCTCTTGCCAATGAGACTATGCCCTCCATAATAGAGGGGTTTTTTTGGGTTAGATCGCGTAAATATATAAATGTGTCGTTAAAACCCGCCACCACCCGACACGGCCAACTAGTAAGGGTTGTCACGTAAACAGAACGTGGCCAATTCGTCACTAGTACAGCACATCGGTGTGTTGGAGAGCCAAGCCACAACATTAACAATCTGAGTACGACGTTTCGCCAGTAATTACAACTAGCTTCATCAGGCGACAGACAGATTTGTAGAGAAGTCTAACTGTTTCGTTCCTTATACAGTATATAGAGGCGTAGATGTGGTGACCCAAAAAAAAACCTCTATTATGGATGATATTGGTTGCAAAAGACTACGTGTTAAACCTTCTATGTCCTGGTCTCTTGAGTTCTCACGTGATTTAGTTCTCACCTGATTAGTTATCACGTGATTTAGTTCACACTTGATGTAGTTCTCACTTGATTAGTTCTCACCTGATTTAGTTCTCACGTGATTTAGTTCTCATTTGATTTAGTTCACACCTGATTTAGTTCTCACCTGATTCCTTCTGATCTGATTTAGTTCGCACCTGATTTCTCATCTGATTTAGTTCTCACCTGATTCAGTTCTCACTTGATTAGTTCTCACTTGATTAGTTCTCACTTGATTGTAGTTCGCACCTGATTTCTCACCTGATTTAGTTCTCACGTGATTTAGTTCTCATGCGATTTAGTTCTCACTTTATTTAGTTCTCACTTGATTAGTTCACACCTGATTTAGTTCTCACTTTATTTAGTTCTCGCGTGATTTAGTTCTCACCTAATTTCTCACCTGATTTAGTTCTCACCTGATTTACATGCGTTTAGAAAGTATTTGGCTGCTACAAATTTCCACGTGATAAGCCACTTCATGGGCTTTCATTTGTGATAGCCAGGTCGCTTCTGAAAAAAGAGCGATATAGTGGACTATATCTTGACTTAAAGCTTTCGTGACTGCACGAATTCATATTTCATATTCTTTGGGTCTTCAGACGACCGCTTGTGTTGCGATCGAAACGTCGATATTTTTGTTATTATTTCTGTCTACGTGGCTTTACCGAAAGACCCAAAGAATATAGTGGACTATGTTGCGCCTGTAACACCACAAGGCGGGTTATGCACGTGGCCTGTAAATCCAGCCCTATGTGGAGGCAGCGAGGGATTGTAGAAGTGTTGTGAAAGTCCCTTCCCATGGGCGTTGAGGAGGTGCCATGAAATATTGAACTTTTTTCGCACCGTACGTAACCAACCGTGCTAATCGGAGGTGCCATACCGTGGGTCGCAATGAGAAGGGAGTACAGCAAGTGGTTACTAATCGCCATCTTTAAAGATGCTGGCGAGTAGCACTTGTCCTGGGGATAGAGCGTTGCACCCTCGCACGTGTGGGTTTTTCCAGGTGCTCCGCTTTGATCCCACTTGCACAATACACACTCATTGTTAATTGGCTGAAAACATCTTCAAATAATCCATAATAGAGGTGTTTTGGATTCGATCACGTAAATGTAAATGTGTCGTTAAACCTGCCACCACCCGACACAGCCAAATAGTAAGGTTTGCCACATAAACAAAATATGCCCATTCGTTGTTGGAGAATAAACCCACAAAATAAAAAAAAATTCGAGTACTTAAAATAAACAATCGATGCGGCAGAACCCCTCGAGAAAAACGATGAAAATCACTCAGCGTGTCCCTCTTGGATCGATGGCAAAATAAAGCGACAGCAGAGATCATTGCAGCTCGCGCGGGCCAATCAGCTGCGAGCCCCCCCCCGTCCCTTCGCCCCGATGCCGGAGTCCAATTAAGGGACCGTGCAAGTGGCCTGGACAGCAATTATAGAGGAAGAGGGGAATCGTGGGGAATGAGGGGAGAGCGTGTGGGGAGAGGGTGAGGGGAGTGAGGGGAGAGGACGTGGGGAGAGAGTGTGGGGAGAGAGTGAGGAGAGAGTGTGGGGAGTGAGGAGAGAGGGAGTGGGGAGAGTGAGGGGAGTGAGGAGAGAGGGAGTGGGGAGTGAGGAGAGAGTGAGGAGAGAGAGTGTGGAGAGTAAGGAGATAGTGAGTAGGGAGAGAGTGTGGGGAGTGAGGAGAGAGTGAGGAGAGAGAGTGTGGAGAGTAAGGAGAGAGTGAGTAGGGAGAGAGTGTGGGGAGTGAGGAGAGAGTGAGGGGAGAGTGAGTAGGGAGAGAGTGTGGGGAGTGAGGAGAGAGTGAGGGGAGAGAGTGTGGGGAGTGAGGGGAGATTGAGGGGAGAGAGTGTGGGGAGTGAGGGGAGAGAGTGTGGGGAGTGAGTGTGGGGAGTGAGGAGAGAGAGAGTGGGGAGTGAGGGGAGAGTGTGGGGAGTGAGTGTGGGGAGTGAGGAGAGAGAGTGGGGAGTGAGGGGAGAGAGTGTGGGGGAGTGAGGAGAGAGTGAGGAGAGAGAGTGAGGAGTGAGGAGAGAGTGAGGGGAGAGAGAGAGTGAGGGGAGAGAGTGAGTAGGGAGAGAGTGTGGGGAGTGAGGAGAGAGTGAGGGGAGAGAGAGAGTGAGGGGAGAGAGTGTGGGGAGTGAGTGTGGGGAGTGAGGAGTGAGTGAGGAGAAAGTGAGTGTGGGGAGTGAGGGGAAAGTGAGGGGGTGTGGAGTGTGGAGAGTGAAGGGGTGGAGAGTAAGGAGAGAGTGAGTAGGGAGAGAGAGAGTGAGTGGGGAGTGAGGGGAAAGTGTGGAGAGTGAAGGGGTGGAGAGTAAGGAGAGAGTGAGTAGGGAGAGAGAGAGTGAGTGGGGAGTGAGGGGAAAGTGTGGAGAGTGAAGGGGTGGAGAGTAAGTAGGGAGAGAGAGTGAGTGTGGAGAGTGAGGAGAGAGTGAGGGGAGTGAGGAGAGAGTGAGTGGGGAGTGAGTGGAGAGTGAAGGGGTGGAGAGTGAGGAGAGAGGGAGGGAGGGTGTGGAGAGTGAGGGGAGTGTGAGCGCATATAACGAGTTACAGTGAGGCATCTCCTTATTTCCGCATACCCTGGGCTCCTTCTCGAGTGCATGTCGGCGGAGGCGAGTTGAGGTGAGCTCTCTCCTACCCCGTGTCCCCGTGTCTCTCCCTGGCCCCGTGTCTCTCCCTGGCTCCGTGTCTCTCCCTGGCCCCGTGTCTCTCCCTGGCCCTCCGTGTCTCCCTGCCGGTGTCTCAAGCCACGGTCTTTGCACGCGTGCGTGCGTGTCCCTCTCTCTGCCTGTCTGTGTGTTTCCTACCTGTATGTCTCACTGTCGTTGTCTTCGTGTGTGTCTGTGTGTCTGTCTATGTGTCTGTCTGTATGTGTCTGTCTGTGTGTGTGTCTGTCTGTGTGTGTCTGTGTGTGTGTGTGTGTGTATCTGTCTGTGTGTGTCTGTGTGTGTGTCTGTATGTATGTGTGTCTGTGTGTGTGTCTGTGTGTGTCTGTGTGTGTGTCTGTGTGTGTGTGTGGCTGTGTGTGTGTCTGTCTGTGTGTGTGTGTCTGTGTGTGTCTGTCTGTGTGACTGTGTCTGTCTGTGTGTGTGCCTGTCTGTGTCTGTCTGTGTGTCTGTCTGTGTGTCTGTGTGTGTGCCTGTCTGTGTGTCTGTCTGTGTGTGTGTCTGTGTGTGTCTGTCTGTGTGTCTGTCTGTGTGTGTGTCTGTGTGTGTCTGTCTGTGTGTGTGTCTGTGTGTGTCTGCCTATGTGTGTGTGTCTGTCTGTCTGTGTGTCTGTGTCTGTCTGTGTGTCTGTATGTCTGTCTGTATGTGTATCTGTATGTGTGCCTGTATGTGTGTCTGTCTGTGTGTATCTGTGTGTGTGTCTGTGTGTGTTTGTCTGTGTGTGTGTCTGTCTGTGTATGTGTCTGTTAAGGCTATATGGGGGATCTTTGTCATCTTTGTCTGTGTGTGTATCTGTGTGTGTGTGCCTGTCTGTGTGTGTCTGTGTGTGTGCCTGTCTGTGTGTCTGTGTGTGTGTGTCTGTCTGTGTGTATGTGTGTGTGTGTCTGTCTGTGTGTGTGTCTGTCTGTGTGTGTATCTGTGTGTGCCTGTATGTGTGTCTGTGTGTGTGTCTGTCTGTGTGTATCTGTGTGTGTGTGTCTGTGTGTGTCTGTCTGTGTGTGTGTCTGTGTGTGTGCCTGTATGTGTGTCTGTCTGTGTGTCTGTCTGTGTGTGTCTGTGTGTGTGTCTGTCTGTGTGTGTCTGTGTGGCTGGGTAATGTAGCCCGCATGCCCAGCCAACGCATGCCGAAACAGCTTTTGTTCGGCCGGATTGAGGGGGCTAAGCGGGCGCGGCACGGGCTAGAGAAGAGATGGAGTGATGTGGTACAGGAGGCACGTGGAGTTGAGTGGACTTGCCGATGACTGGTACCAGCGGTGTCAAGATCGGCCTCTGTGGAGGAGGCTCGTGAAGGACGCTCCTGGGCAGTTGGAGGTAGTCGCCCTCCAACAACAACGGAGGGCGGAGGAGCGACGCTCACAACAACGAGCGGAGCGCCGGGTGGCTAAAGCACAGCAGGTTGGCACAGTAGAGGGCACAGGTGGTGCATCAGCCAGTCATCTCAGTCAGTCGACCCGTGACACCTGGGTCTGCCCCATGACCTCCTGCCAGCGGGCGTTCGACACTTCACGTGGCCTCAGGGTGCACATAGCCTGGCACAAGCGTCGTGGTGACGTCACCGCCACTTAGTGGCGAATGGCGGTTGTTGTTGTTGTCTGTGTGTGTGTCTGTCTGTGTGTCTGTCTGTCTGTGTGGGGAGCGGTAGTGTAGTGGTTTAGCGCTACGCTGCGCTACGAACCCTGCGACCCGAGTTCGATTCCCCCGCTCACGGCCACCAACACCACCGAGCATCTTAACCGGTCCTGGACCATCTCTAGGTAGACTCGGCCTCAAATTAGTACCTGGTGCGGTGTGTGTGGAGTAAAACATCGTCACTGGGGAGACAAAGGGTGCCGGGTGTGGTGTTGGCCACCCACCCACATCGTGTGCCGTGCCGGCCTTCACAGGCGCTGGCTAACAGCACTTGCCCCAACAGTCTGTTAGAGGCTACACGGGGGTTCTTTGTCTTTGCGTGCCTGTGAGTTTGCGCACGCGGATTGGCGTGCACGTGAACGAAAGTGACTTTGATGGAGAGCTGTTCCTTTCGCTTGTTTCTTTCGGATGTATTGGTCACAACCCCACGGCAGGCGAATTGCTCGGTTAGGGGCGACGATGATTGCGGTGGTGGCTTTGGGCAGCATTGGGACCGGGGAGATGTACGCAGCGACCACCACGACGAGCCACCCACCCGCCTACCCCCTCTGGGCAGCCCGCAGTGTTGCTCCGTGTGCGTTGTTGGAACCAACCACAAACCAGGAGCTCCGACGCCTTTCGCGACCAATATCATTCGTAATAAAGACTGGGGGGGGGGGGGGAGATCGCATTTATACTTTCGCGTGTCTAACCACCACCACTACCCCCCAACAACAACAAACCTTGACTATGAACAGGGAGCTCCCCCAGGCCACGCGGCATTTTGAGAACCCCAAAAAACAATAGACACGTTGGTAATGTTTTGCCCTTTAAGAGTTTTAGATTGTCTTCATATACATAAAGTCACAGAGTAGGTTGAACTCTTGCTCTTTTATCGAACATCATTGGAATGTACACGATTCGCTCCGTCAAGGTTATCGATATGTTTGCTGTGTGTGTGGCGTGAAGAGGGAGCGGTGGGCGTAGTGGTTAGCGCGCTGCGCTACGAACCCGGCCACCCTGAGATCGAATCCTCACTCACGGCCACCAACACCATCGGTGACGATTATCTGAACAGGTCCGGGGGCTCGCCTAAGTCGACTCAGCCTCAAATGAGTACCTGGTGCGGTGTGTGTGTGTAAAACATCGCCACTGGGGAGACAAAGGCGGCCGGGCGTGCGTGCTGGTCACCCATCACCTCGCGTTGCCGCAGTGCCAGTGGCCTTGATAGGTGCTCGCTAACAGCACTTGCCCCAGCAGTCTGTTACAGTCTATTACAGGCTATACGGGGGATCTTTGTCTATTTTGTGGGGTGTGAATAGGGGAGCGGTGGGCGTAGTGGTTAGCGCCGCTGCGCGACGAACCAGGCGACCCGAGTTCGCCATGTGAGGGATACAAAGGCGGCCGGGCGTGGTTGCCGGCCTTCATAGGTGCTCGCTGACAGCAACTTGCTTCCCCCAACAAGTTCTTAGGGCTCTAGTTAGTCGTGGTGGGGGATCATTGTCTCTTGTGTACGGTATACAGTCTCTCTATGTGTCTCTATGATTAATGTTCACCTACAACAGTTTTCTTATACCAGCTGCTAGTCGAGGACTTCCGCCGCCCCCCCCCCCCAACCACGCCGTGCAGGTCGTCGGGGTTTTTTGACCATACTTCACCGCGCTGGTCAACGTTGACGATGCGCGTAGGTACGTCTCAAATGTCAGTCGGGGGCATTACAACTCCATAGACAGGACCGGCAAACGCCTCCGATTGGTACGGTATGGCTACGTACGGCGCGAAAGAAGTCCAACATAGGGAGCAGCGGTCCACGTGGCCCAGCGGCAGCGGCAGCATCAGAAGCGGCCGCCTCCAATGTTAAGGACGCTGCCACTCCGAGCTGTATGTGTGGGGGTGCGGTCCGAGTCCCATTCATCCATCACGGTTCATCTGTCACACCTGCGTGCTCCTCCACACATCCTGCCAGAGAGCCGCCACCGACGGACGCGTCGCTTCGTCGTTGCCACGAGGTGCGTGCACCTAGCCTGGCACAAAGCGACGCGGTTGGGGGGTGGTGAGGCCGTCACCGCCAAATTAGAGGCGAATGCTGTTTTATCGTTTAGACGCTACTGTGTGTATGTGTTGTGTGTTATGCCGTACAGGTGTGTGCGTGCGTGTGAGTACCTGGTGTGGTGTGTAAACATCGCCACTTGGAGAGACAAAGGCGGCAGGGCGTTGTGTTGGCTACCCACCCCTTCGTGTGCCTTGCCGGCCTTCATAGGTGCTCGCTAACAGCACTTGCCCCCTACAGTCTGTTACAGGCTACATGGGTGATCTTTGTCTTGTGTGCGTGAGTTAGTGACATCTGGAGTGGTGGTGTCGCGGTTAGCGCTACGAACCTGGCGATCAGAGTTCGATTCCCGCTCACGGCCAACATCACCAGTGACGATTATCTGAACAGGTCCTGGGTCTCACCACGGTCGACTCAGCCTCAAATGATTACCTGGTGCGGTGCCTGTTCGGGCGGCCGGGCGTGGGCCACCCACCCCCTGGTGTGCCTTGCCGGTCTTTATATCTGCTCGCGAACAGCACTTGCCCCAACAGGCTACATGGGGGATCTTTGTATGTATGTATGTATGCGTGAGTGATAGCATAGCATGACAAGTCAGTCCGCATATGTTTGGCCTGGAGCCACCTCTAGGTTGACTCGGCCCTAAAACGAGCATTTTGTAGTGTGCATGCGCCTCTTTGGTGGTGGAGATGGCAGTGATGGTGGTGATAGCAGTGATAATGTGGTGGTGATAGCAGTGATGGCGGTGATGGTGTTTATCACGGTGATGAAGATTGTGGTGATAATGGTGGTGGTGTTGACGATTGTGACGGTGCTACTATAATGATGATACTGATGGTGCCGAAAGCGATTGTTGTAATAGATACAATTATGATTTTGGGGCTTTTAGAGGTCACAGATATCAACACTTGGGAATGGAAACAAGAGCGGTCTTTGCGTGTTTGGCACGCTGTCATCCCCACCGTCACATACCCAAACTCATAGGCACTCCCTCTATAACACCCAGCAAGCAATGCATGTTGCGGGGGCTTGCGTCGGCATATCACACGTGAATATAACGCTGGCCACGTCGCTGCTCGTGTAACAATGCACTGTGGTTAAATGCAGGTCGGCTAAATAAAACTCATCCGCTACGTCAACAGCGATGTGCCCACCGCCCGCTGGCCTCTTGAGTTTCGTGTACACTTGCCAACCACTGCCCCTCTGTGTGTTGTCAAATCGTTTGAAATGATCTATCCACTACTGGATTAAGGCATCTGTTGTCCGCATCGTCGTCGTCCGGCACGGTCATGTGATGC